TGAACAACATTAAGTGAATCAATCCTTGAAATTCCCAAATTCATTCCAAATTCTGGCCGTTAACCCCCCCCCTCCCCCATGTCTCTTAATTACATTTATTTTGCAAATGATATATAAATTATAGATTCAAATATTTCATTTTCGAATTGCACAAAGGGCAACATGTGAAGATAAAACCGCGATCCTAAAGCTACTTGCGAAACAAAGTGGTTTATGGTCCCCAATATCATTATTATATTAATACCAATACAATGTACCTCTATCAATATCATAAATTCACTCCTTTTTAATATAAATAGTCAAACAAATTAAGCAGTATGCTACAGTTGGTTATCAATCGGAGTTCACGACCTATTGATTACTCTTTAATACAAAATTTAACCATTTTAGAATGGGTAACTCACCCCCCCCCCGTTCATGTCCATGAAGTGCGTAGACTGACATAATAGTGTCATTTATTAATTAAACATCACTGATTTATGTTGAGACATTCAGTGCGATTATTTCATTTCTTTGTTCAAAAAGTTAAAGCACCAATGAAATACATATTTTTATCACACAAAAGGGGCAGAATACTTGACCTTGTATCAATTCATATCCCGATAATTCTTTACCAGGGAATGTTTCTTATTAAAACATAAGCAGCGCCTAGGCGTCGATTGGGGGGGGGTCAATCAGGCTATGTACAGCCAAGTATCCTGTTTATGTAAAAACCCTACGTTCCCGAATCACAATCAGACAATTAATTAGTATATTTGTTCAGTGTTTTCAAAGTTTATTGCACGTTTTATCCTTGAAACGCCTTTCTTTTTCTTATCATGATATGTATTTCCTTCACTTAGGATCAATGCGTCGATTAGCATTGCCTGTAACTGATTTATATTTTCAAAAGGCGGCATGAAATTGCCAAAATGTTTAAATAAGTCAATGTGTCAGCGTACATACAAAATAGTCTGTTTAATATTTGCTACATGTACTTGTTCCAAACAGTCTGCGAAAGAATGATTAAAAAATATATCAATTAAAAGTATCAGAAATACTTGCAATCGTTAAAATACTGTATGTATTGCTATTGGTAATTAGGTTAGTTGTTACACATAATTATGTTGTTCAGTGTGCCAAGAGCGTGTCAAGAGATTCCATTAATTGTCACAGGGCGTGTAAAGACTTTTTGACATGGTCTTTACATGTCTTTGCACTGCGTGTGCCAAGAAGTGCAAAGAGGTGTAAAGAGTTGAATTCATCGCGTGTCAAGAGGTGTAAATAATTGGCACGTCTAGAAACCCGGCGTGTAAAGACCAGTTTCTAGACGTGTCAAGAGTTGGAATCCCATATTTCACGCAGTGTTGATTATTATGTACCCTCTGTCATACAAAATTCTGTATGTCATCATTCTGAAGATGTTCCCAACAAAAAAGGATGATTCAAACTTTTGAAAACTTACTTCAAACAACAAAATGTTATGTTCTGAGCATTTAAACAATATAATGACATGTTTTTTATACCAAGATTAAGAAAAATGTAAGGAATACATTAATGTCAATTAAAACATCACATCAACATGCTGTATTCAGAAAACATATGGTAGAAAAAAGTCAACCATGGACTATGGTTATCTCCTCTAGATAATGATTACTATTCAAAAAACAAATGATACCAAAATGAAAAAAATAACCTCAGATCAGAAGCAACAATTACAGAACTTCAACCAACCCATGGCAAACAGTAAGACCATCAATAAATTAATAAATTACCATCAAATCAAATGTTTATCAACCCTCCAAAAAGCCTAACAAAGCTACCAACCCAAGGCTGATGAATATGAAGAGATTGATAAATGAGCTCATGACAAAACCCAAGCTCCCCTGTACAAGGTTCAAGCCCTCGTTGGCAGCTAGGAAAATCCACCATGATGGATTGATCAAAATTGTTCCACATGCTCCACATTTATGTGTGAGATGAAAGAAAGTCGAGAGGGTACTTGAATGGCTAGATAGACACATGTTCCATGTTCATTAACAAAATATGCTGAAATATGTTACAAATGCAGCTGTATTCAAAGTGAAGTGTTTCCTCCCTTACAGAGATAAAAAAAACAATATCAATGAAATAGATTGGAATTTTAAAAATAAATATAAAATTGTACCAATGTTTGATCATTGTTTTGTAAAAATGCATAAACAAGGGAACCCATACAAGTATTCAAAATTTTATCCTTCAAAAAGAAAAGCTTATACTAGATGATGTACGTGACTAGATATAACACCGTAAACCCTTCCACGCAGGAGGGCGACATGAAAAAAATCTGTCTGACTAACTTAACCAAATGTTAGATGAGTTTTGGTTTTTTATGTACATGTATATTCATACATCAAGTAGCTTTCACCATTCATGTAGATATTGCAAATATATGGAGCCTTAATAAATGATATGTGTGTGTACACACTTGTGCCAAATAGGGTGATGTTGGGATAGACTAGGATAACATTTATACAAGAGGGCCCATAAGGTCAACCTTTGTGCTCACCCAGCCCAGAATCAATATATCATACATGTGGCTGACATAAATATATAAGTAGGTACTTGTAAAAAATTATGACCAATATTGGCCGAGTAGCTAGGCCCCAATGCTATAGTTACCATATTTATGAATTGGGTGTATTCTGACATGGGAGATCAGAATTAAGGAGGTGTGAGGGTCATCAGAAAAGGTCTTTGTGTTCAGATCATTGTTTACATTGGTTCCATGGTCTCCTTCAGGAAAACTCTCTTGAGGGAGAACTCTTTGTTCAGCCTTTATCAACTACATGTTCCTTCAGTTCAGTGCCATTATCCTTCATGAGATTAAGACTTTTTCCATGCTGTTCAAATTCATTGATATTGCTACATGTAGCAATACCATTACCCTTTACCCTTTTTAGCATGACACTATACTTCTAGCCTTTACTTTAAATATGATATTCATGATCAAACTCCCTAAATGGGCCACAAAGACACACTTGGGATCATTAAATTTTTACAAACAGCATAAAAACTGCAAAATCCTCTGTATTAGTCAGATAGTAGGAGACTTGAGAATTCAGTAAGATCCACTGTAGGATAGTTCAATATTTAAACTTATTTTACTAATCAAACCTGTACATATGTATTACTTCCTGAACAAGATAACAACTTCTTAAATATAATCTAATATACTCAAAATACTTGTAAACATCTATATAATGATCATATAAATCAATAAAATTAATGATAACCGATAACTTATCAGAGAAGTTTGTGAAAGTCATTGACGAAAAAGTGATCTAACCGCAGATTGTATAATACATGTGAGCTATTAAGAATTAATGTTTATTCATTTGAATACTTCATGTATAATAAATCTAGAGATTAATAATTAAATGGATTAATAATGGATAAAGAAATATCAAGAAAATGTGATATATTTGAAGATATACTTCTCTTCATCACGCTCCCAGCAAAAAGGTGTTATTTAATCACTAACACAATGTATATCATCAATAAACAAAACATCAGCAGTTACTTGGGAAAAACAAACATTTCCTGGAAATGAAACAAACGTTACAAGAGCTTATGCTGGTCATTGACCTAAATAAAAGCTCCCGGGTAAGAGCTCACCTTGCAAATATGCAATAGATCAGACTATGCAAAGCTGATAAAATTAAACAACTTTAGGTAACTATCCATGTATTAACTCATCCATGTACATATTAGGGTTTTAATTCGTTATATTTAGGCAGTTTCAATTCATTCATTCATTGGGCAAGTTTTTGTGGATGTACGTAAGACTGTTTGTCTTTATCAAGCCACCAGCATACCTGCGGCCTGACCTGCGGGTTCTTTGGAATATTGATAAGATGTTTTAATCAGTATTAGGAACATCAACATCTATCATCTTAACATTGTTATCCTATGTAAGATATTGATTACATTTGAATGACCAACTTAGCTTATTGGAGCATTGAGCATTAATCTATCAAGAGATAATTCCAAATGTAAATCTATTACTCTTACAGGATTAGCGAAATCAGTCGGCATTGCTTTTAATCTGGCCTCATCTACAGTACATGTATATCAGTATGTACAGGGTGTCCCGAAAGTATGGGGCCCTCCCTAGGCAGACATATTCCAGTGTCCTTATAGTATGTGTCATATATCATTGTAAAGCTTATCCAAAGTTACATTGATTTGCCAAGTATCATGGTTTAACTCCCAAATGGGAAAAAGTTACAGTCATTTTAAAAATTAGTGTTTTGTCAAAATAAAGTTCAATTTTACACCACATTACTAGTCAATGTGTCCCCCCTCGGCCATGTTAACATCAGCAATTATTTTCAGATGTGACCTTAAAAGCCCTTCAAATAGGGATGTGGAATTTTATAATCCTCTTAAACCTGTTAAGGGACTTTGGAAGAGTTTCCTTAGAGTTTCTACCCTCACCATTCTCTTTTTCCAACTCAATATCCCTCCGACCCGAAAAAAATATTGCTGCTGTAAGATGGCCTGGGAGGACACATTGACTTGTGATTTGGTGTAAAATTGAACTTAATTCTGACCAAACACTAAATTTTGAAATGCCTGTAATTTTTTCACATTTTAGAGTTGAACAATGATACTTGGCGATTCAATGTAACTTTAAATAAGCTTTAAAATGATATATGACACATACTATGACGACACTGGTATATGTCTGCCTAGGGGGGGCCCCATACTTTCGGGACACCCTGTATATTGAAACATTTATACAAAATGGGCGATGATGTCATAAGTCAGTGTAGCATTGTTCTGATTTGGTGTCTATTTGTCCCACGTTGCTATTTCAACAACTGTAATGTTGCTCAATCTATCTTAGGGTTCATTTTGATTTTAGGAAGTAGTCAACAACTTTGACTTGTGACGGTACAACCGAGCACTGGTTTTTGTTTTAATTTCTTCAAAGTCAATCTTTGCCATAATAGTCTTTAATTGTATACTATACTTACTGTCGACACCCCAGTATTTTCTATGGTAGTGGACCCCGAAGTATTTCTTGGTTTGCTCCAGAAACTTCATCCTGAGTTCCCACATCTTCTCGGTGTCGCCAGCCTGGGGTTTCCGCCCCAACTCTCGCATACGCTTCACTTCCCGCACCTCGCTCTACAATCAAACAATAGAACCTCATGACATCATCTAATTATTCCATATTGCCACAGATTTTTTTTTTATTATTATTTGCCACAGATGTAATTTTTCACCTTTGGGATAGGATGAAAGGCCATTTCCAAGAAGAAATATTTATTTTGGAAAAATTCGATCCCACATTGACCCATATTTTCTCACAAATATGAAGTGATATAGACAGAGACAGAAATGATCAGATCCGACATGCAAGGTTTATACTTTGGAGTTCAGGACTACCGTAGCTTCACTTCTTCCATTTGGGAAAGGGAAAACCTCACATGTAGTACAGGGCTGCTTTTAAACCTTAAGTGCATTTTTATATCTAGTACACTAATGATTGTACAATAAAATAAAAATAAATACTGATCTCCTTATGTTTTTATAATCTGGCTCAAGCTTTATAACAATCTTATCTGGGTTAAAAAGTATTACATTCCCATTTACCCATGGATCATATTAAGTAATTATAGTAGAACCCCAAATCATGTCCAACATCAAAATGTTTAAAAATTGTAAAATATCTCAGTTTAAATGGTATGATTCCACAATCAGAGCTATAATTAGTTTTCTTAGCCTACTTCGCCCAGTTAGTCATAAAATAATTTAAGATAAAGACTGATATATTTCCTTTAAGTTATGATGACAAATACATAGCAACAATTACACATTTTAGAGTGCTCCACACAAATGCGGATGAATATAGCTGATCAAAAAATCTATAATAACAATGTGAAAAGTAAAGCACGAATTAATATTTCATACAATGGGATTGGAAAAAGTTCTGCCAGCTAAACAACAAAAGAATTTCAGTTGGAAGTATAGATTTCCAATGAATCCCCTATACCTACATTATATACTGAATGTATAAAACACAAAGGATAACGTGTTTGTGTAGATTAGAATTGGGTCTAATTAATTAGGCATGAGAAAGACACGAAAATGTCCTCACCAAAATTATACAGAAAAAACTTTATGGTTTAAGTTGTGCCTCCTCTACTTAAATTTGCCTCTTCTATTTTCCCGAGGACCAATGTCAGATTCCCGACCCTTTCCGCATGGGGGTCTCTAACAATCCTTTGAATGGTGCATTAAGGTGAGCAAAGTGGAATTTAGAGTGCTAACAATAAGCAAGCTTATTCATCCACCATGACCACCTTAACTTTAATTTTGTTTATTTCATTTGCTAAGTTTAACATTTACAAGACATGATTATTTTTATGATCACCATGACGATAAATACAACAACTACCAAAAAGCATCTGATTTACTATAACACTATTTATTGTACATTAAAAGTAAAAGGAAATTAATTTTGTCTGACATGGCACAATAATTGTGATGGTTGTGATCATCTCAATGGGATGATTGAGATTTTCAGTTATTGGGATTTCATTTCCAAATTGTTCCATCAAATTGAATATAAATAAAAAGAGCTGTAAAATATCAAAATTATGCTTTACTTTATAAAATACCCTCATGTATATTTTTTAATTACTTGATTTAAAACACTAGAATGAAGTTGCTTCTGATCTGATCGTCCCTGGTTCAATAAAGAGGATGTGCCATACTTATATACAGGGTGATCCAAGTATCAATATACAGGGTAATATGCATACTCACGTACTGGTCATGCATGTATTCATATTTATATGCATACTCCTATACATGGTGATCTGATACAGGGTGATATGCATAATATACAGGGTGATATTCATACTCGTATACATGGTGATCCATGAAGTATAATATACAGGGTGATATGCATACTCAAATACATGGTACATACTCATATGCATGGTGATCCATGTATTAATATACTGGGTGGTCTATATACTACATTCCATGAGACAAAAGACAATCTTGAAGGAATGTTGAAAAATGTCAATAACTACTTCAATCCTTAAAACTTATACTGCATAAGAATACAATCAAAGAACTGCACAATTACATAGTAATTCAATTCAGGTATTGAAGTCTAAAAAACTTAACTGTATTGTTAAAATTATACCATGTCTCCATCACAATATTTATAAAGGAAATAATTCTATCTATTCATAATGAATGGCTACAATAGAAAAGGTCATTGCCTGAGGAGCAGATAATCAGTCAATTCTAAATGTTATATAAAGAAGTTATAAGAAGACCTCCAGACCCCAGGCAAGTATATATTATACTGACATCGAATACTATGAAAATTTTTGAACCAATTATAAGAGGATCTGTTTATCTACTCCTCCACTTCTTCATGTTCTTAGTATGTGTTCATATATTTCTATAGTAGTTGACATTTCTGGGGGCATCTGACAATTCTCAGAAAATGTTGTTTTTACGTATCAGGTATACAGTGCAATTCCTAGTTCCAACCCACCTACAATGTACTACTAAATTTTATTTTTCTCTGATTTAACCTTGTTACGCGAAATTCACCTGTCTGAATTGACGTTGATGTTTTAAATGTCTGTATACAGTGGGAGGCGAACAATTATTTTGTCAGTCATGTTACTGGGTTCCAGTAGTCTGATGCCAGTCCGAGGCAAAGCCTTAAATTAAATGTATGAAGGATGGGTTAAATCAGAGTAAATCAGAGTAATTTTTGGGGGTTTTGCTTTAGTGTGCATAAATTCAAAATGACCTCATAGAAGCCCGGTACCGTGTGAGACAATAATAATAATATTTATCTTTACCGCCTCTCTTCTCTCGACAGTTGAAGTCTTGAGGGAACTGCTAATGTAACTATACTCACTAACAAACATTCTACTTGATATGTGTTCAAAAAGTTTGTTTTGTAAATTATTCTGAGGGAAATTAAAAGTGAAACTAAGGATGCTCTTGTAGGAGACACACATGTAAATTGTAAATCTGATTAGTGTGGTGCTATTCAATAGAGTGATTTTGAAATAATGGTTGTTTTAAACAAGCAATAAAGAGGAGAGATGATGATTTGAGGATGATATTTAGAAAAATACCAGTTTTATGATATTGTTTGCCCATAGCATTTCTTGTCATATACCCACTTTCTGAAAAGTCTAGGAGGGTTAATTTATCTTATGAAAATACTATTGATTATAAAAGATAGTTGTCAGAATGTAAAATATTGGAGCCAATCTTTTCAAAACTTATGCAGCCTATGTCCCTTTTAATTATTGAAAAAAGAATTGAGATATCTGCAGATCAAATATTTAGGTTATTGAACATTTAAATGCAGAAATGGCCATATTCAATAGAATCAAAACGGAGACATCTACTTGATTTTGTGCTAGATAACCTTCAAATTTAAAGAATCATCCTGATTAGAATGCCAGAACTGTTGTACATATGTCTTATTTAGAAAATAAGTATCACATAAAAAATAGTGTAACAATTAATCTGTGTTCCTTTTATTATCTAAAACATTATCTGGCAGTTGTTTCTAAAGTCGCTCTATAATTTCAGAGAGTAGACAATTTTGCATCTTAAATATTCAATGACTTCACATTCATATCCGAACACAGTGACAAGTTTATTGATTTGCTTTCAACATTTCAAACTCTGGGTCATTTGTTGCCATTGTCAAACTTATTGTTTTTAGAAAGCCAACTTAACACAAATGAGGATGGCTCATTAACTTCGATTGCCCCAAAACATTTGGAAAATAATAGATAAAGTAAAACCTCTGGATTTAAATGTTCTTAGGTTTTAAGAACCATATGTACACTTGTAAGATCTTGCATTTTCAAAGATATATTTTTGAATATAATTGTGAACATGGTGGTTATCAGATTTTTTATTGATTTATTTCTTTTAATTATTTCTTCTTTAATCATTTACTGTAAAATAAAATTTCACATCCTCATGAAACATTTTCAGTTTCCTTTCAAAGTTTTGATGCAACAGTGTCACTAACCCAATCAAAAAAAAAACGTCAGCTTACAACAACTCAATATCATGCAGAGATGTTAAAAAAAGGAAATATGAATGCGTCAAAAAATCTGATAGTACGTCATTCGAAACAGGCCTTAATGTAACATGAATTGCGTTTTCTTGTTATTTTACACCCCCATTCAGACTCCACATACCTCATTTTTTGTTAAATCGCATGATAATAGAGCGACAGGTGTGCCCAATAACATATTCAATACAGCAGTTGAATAATTAAAACCTTTTTCTATTTTTATGAACAAAACAATTAGTGCCATTCTGAAAGAGCATATTCTCACTGCATACCTAGTTTTTCGCTCCCTTTGTATTCTTTGCCACGCGGCTCGAACTGATTTAATTTCTCAATCATGACTTATAATAATGAATTAATTCAAACCATATAAACTTAAATAGAACTGGCATTTATTAATTTATACCAATTGCAATGGCATTCAATATCCAGGGACTCAATTTTGATTTAACACAATCACTGTTCATGTACTATATACAGAATGTATTCCCAAAAATGAGTGTTTCATACTTATGGTACGTTCACACCAACGGCGCTTTGATGGCGCTTTAAAGCGGCTTGTAAAGCGGCACCAAAGCGTAACAAAGCTTAATTAAAGCGTCAGGGTCGTAATAGGTCGTAGAAAAGCTCGGGAGTAAAGCGGGATATTCGGCAAGAGCGCTAAAAAATTTAAACTGTTTAAGCGTTCGCACCAACGGCGCTTTGATGGCGCTTTAAAGCGGATTGTAAAGCGGCACCAAAGCGTAACAAAGCTTGATTAATGCGTCGGGATCGTAATAGGTCGTAGAAAAGTTCGGAGTAAAGCGGGATATTCGGCAAGAGCGCCAAAAAATGTTAAACTGTTTAAAAATTTTGGGCGCTCTGTTACGAATTGATTGAAGCGCCGAGAGCGTATCAAAGCTTAACAAACCGTAACAAAGCTCAACAAAGCTTGACTCAAAGCGTAGGAAAGCTTAACACAGCTTGGTTCAAAGCGGGGACCCCAGTCTATTCACGGTCTGTTACCACTTGACACGCTTCGTTAAGATGTCTCAAGATTTGCTACGAT